AATATTTAATGACATACTCCGATAAGGGTATGCTTGTAATTAGTTTTATGGGTGATATTAGTATTTGTTATATATAATTACATGCGTTCAATTTTATATATAAAAAAAGACTACTTACCTTTTTATAAATATAATGATTTAAAATTTAACACAAGCATAATAAAATTAGTTAAAATTCAATAAACATGTTATTTTTTTCAATTTTTCCTGTATAAATAATGATTTTCCCAATTTTTCTGTTCACTTTTTTCTGAACATACCCTCGATTAAATATACAAAAAAATAAAAGTCTTGATGTTATATAAAAGTTTTGTTGTTTATTGTGTTGTATATTGCATTGAGAATGTCTCCTGAAAGTTTGGTAGCATTATCTTTGAAAATAAAAAAGTTGTGGACAAAATAAAGCAGAATTGCGGAAAGTTGGTCACAAGTTTTTTCGTTAAATACAAAGATAAATAAAGGGGTTAAAAAATTCACCAAAAAAATCATAACTTTTTTTCCATAAAAGATAGAAAGATGAAATTGGTGTTTTTGCAAAGCTTATAGCGAGCCCTTTAAAATGGTGTATCATTTGTGGCTATTGGACAATATTTAAAATGTGTGTCAAAGTACCTAAAAATATTTTTTTGCGGAATATTAACAAAAACTAAAATTGTATTTTGTGGCTTTATTTAGAAGAACTCATATTTAACTGTGTTCCCTCAAAATATCATATTTTTGTCTCATTTTATAACAAAGTTATAGGCATACAAACAATAGCAAATATGAGGGTGACGAAATGTGGAGGAAAATCCCATAGTCCATAGTGAAAAAGGGGTTTAGAGGTCCTTACTAAAAAATGTATAACTTTTGAACCACTTGAGCTAGAAAGTTGATCTTGGTGTTTTTGTAAACTATTATATTTGCTCTATACAGCTGTAGTCTTTTTATATTTTTAAAAATGTTTTGAAATTTTAATCAAAGTGCCTAAATGATAGGGATCGATTTAGGGATACATTAGTGACTCATTAGTCGCGGCCATCGATAAAATAGTGTCATTCGTCCTCTACATTTACCGTGGTAAGAATCATTGGCTTGGAGAAAGAATTATTACATGACAAGTCCAAATAAATTTAAAGTTAACCTATTATTATTATTACTTTATTATTTATTACTTACGCTTGTGATTTTCTTTGGCCTGTTGTTGAAGACTTTGACTTGCGTTTAACTCCTTGTTTGCAACAGTGAATTATATATTCATATTTAAGGTGTTCCAAATTGGGATCTTTCATCTTCTCTGACGATCTTTTAGTGAAACACACATTGTGTTCTTTACAAAAATAATTCAATTCGTCTTCAAAAGACGCATAGGTGTCAAAAATGCTG